GATAATAAATTTCACCAGTCCCGTAGATTCTGAAAGGTCTATAACTACAAAATTTATTTTCTACAGAACGATGTTCTCTAGGAACATTCATTACTTCATGTAACTTCATTATGCCCTCTTCTGCTTCATTTTGTGACGCAGTGGTGAAAAAAAACGGACATTTACGATCTTGTGTTGCGCGGAAAATTTCAAACGGTGCACTCCCCGCATTAAATTCTGCTTGAAATGCAATTATGATATTTGCTTCTTTATACAATTGTGTGCGAATATAATCGTCATATGACACACGTGCATTCGCAAGGTATAGTTTCTTGTTTGCTGCGAAGCATCCGCCGCAAACTTTGTAATATTGATTCCTGTCACAATCCGTTTCTGGTTGAACCAGTATAACTCTTAATTCCATAATTTTCTTAACCGAATTAAATTCATGGCAAAAATGTAAGAAAATCTCCCATGATGGTAAGCCCGCTACATCTGCTGAACTCGCACCTATGATATGTACGATAAAGAAATAACTTTTGTAGCGTCCACGTCGGTTAAAATTATATTCATCTCTATAAATCTGTGTTTCTTCAAATAAATTAGCGAATTCCTTTAACCCGTAGTATAGTGTCAGTGGAGCTGATACATAATTCGACGTTATGTAACAATCCGCATTCCAAACATTAGATTCGCCAACAATGTATCGATTACCAAATGCAAACATGTTATCACAACCTTCTTTCATTTTGGAAAATTGTACATTATGTGAATACGATATTATAAGGTAATTTAGACGTAAGATATTCAAATTCAAATGTACCAATAAATTCAAGCACATGAAATCGTGTTTTTCTTTAAAATCCCATTGGTGCTCGTCACAATAATTGGCGGAATAGCAGGTCCTGCAAGTTAGCAGTCCCATCTGTTGGTGACAAATAAGACATGATTTGGCGCACATTATCATCTCTTTCTCGTACGGCATTAGATCACGTGTCATTTTCACCTGAATTCCTTGCATAAATGTCTTTCGAGATGACCTCCATTCATCATCTGAGTTAAAAGGACGAGCGTTCGATTCCAAGTTTTCTGTTCTTGCAAATGGAATAACTGCACAGACTTCCATATGCGAGCTTTGATGCATTATTTGATGGTCCGTGGAACAATAAAAAACCATGTCGCACGAACCACATGGAATTAATTCGCCTTGATTCGGCTTCTTGCAGACATGACAAATATTCGGATTGAAAAACTCATTATAATGATCTTCTGTGTATAATTTATCGAATATGCACAAGCGTTGTCTTACAAACATAATTTATTAATGTAATTGACAGTTATCAAATACTTTAATCGTTATATTCACTTAGAAATAATGCTGGATATTTGAGCGAATATAATAATTCTGTACACGACAATTCTGTACACGAATTCAGTTTAGATGTTCAGTTGATGATAGCCCGAAGGACACTACTAATAGATTTGAATATGTTCTTGAATATTTTGTGATTTGTTGACAATGTATATTATAACTGGCGAAATAACGTGATTTGAATAGCCATTAGCACATACAATGTGTACATGTGTACATTGCGAATATTATGAACTATAAACTGTGCGGCAATTATTCAGCTATCATCCGTACGACACATATATATAATAAATTAATAATAAATAGTTGATATTAAATATACTTACATAAAAATATATACTATTAACTTATATAAATAAGGTGGTGCATATATATTAATTAATTAATTAATGTTATCAAAGTAATAATTCTATTTTATATGAATATTTAAATTAAGTTTTGAGAAATTCAGTTATAAGTTATATTTTAAAATTCCGTTTAATTTTACATTTTGAACTTCCGTTTGCAGTATACAAGCACTCGCACAATGCAGACACAAGTCGTAGTATTGAAGGGAATGCTATACTTAAAAATTTTATCGAAAAGTACTGACTTTCTTCTTCTAAAATTTACTTACTTGGTTAAATAATTTTAATACCAATTTTTATTTTATATATTTAATGTACCCATATTTTCATTTTTAACATACCATCAGATATTGTAACTGAGAATCGTTCTGATATTCTGTTCCGTAAATATACTTCTGTTCTTTAAATATACTTTTTTTTAAAAAACAGGGAAAAGTTTAAACAAAAATTTGTCTCATCAACCTTCTTATGATATTATTTTATCAATGTATTTGACATACCTCTATTCATATAAAATATTGTTTTTAATGCATAATATGCTTAATAGTATAAAACATTACGTATAATATTTTATCATAATTTAACTTCTTTCTTCCTTTCTTTCAATAAGTTGCTGTGTCATTAGATTGATTCGTCCTGTGATATTTGATGGAAAAATATTTAAAGGGCGTTATATTTGCGAATACGCAAATGGGCTAACAACAATCGGATCCTGTTCACATGTGATATTATATTAAATCTAACGTTTGCAAGATATCTTTCAAAAATTTGGGATCTACTGCTTTTTTGTTTTTGATAAAGACCAGATTGCTTCGACGATAAATCCATACAGTGACGATAATTGAACTTTGTCCCTTTTTTCATCATGGTTTCCAACTGCGATTTTATTTAAATCAGTTAGGTAAAATTTTTTGTTATGTTTATTCCTTTCAACTTGATCGGTACGATTTTATTTAAATTGCTCGTTTGCGATAACTTAGATTTCGAAAAACAGAAATTCTTGTGACATTCGTTTATTGCGCACTGATTCCGAAGATCAATTAATGAATATGCAGTAAAACCAATGTTATTTGAATGAGTGGACCAAAATATCTTTCTGTTAATAATCGTTTTTTACCGAAAATCGGATTTCGGATATAGAGTGCGCGGACATAATATCGAGAATATGAGAAGTATTATTTAGAAACAGTTTTACGATACACCAAAAATGTATGTTTCCCAAAATGGTATTCGCTGCTTTTAAAAAAAATTGTTTAATTTTTTGCATTTTTAACTGTTGTACAATCAAGATTATCTTAATTAAAATAAATGTTATACATGAGTATGTAGTGATGTTGTATATGAAATATAATAGTGACTCTACAGAAAGTAGAAAAAATCGCGTTTCGAAAATTGAAAAGTTTCTTTTGGACATGCTATAAATGTCCGTATCAAATAAAATTATAATTGTTTAAATATCCTTAAGGTATTTTACATTCCATATTTTTTTCAGAAGTATCCGAATCAAATGAAATCATACGTGTTTAAATCTTCTTATGGTATTTTATTTTACTTAACGTATTTTACTTTTTTCAAAGCCATAGCTCTTCTCGTTTCGAAGAAAAAAATTCTTTTTGAGTTTTGAGCTTGACGACATAACTCTGAAACTACGCGGTTACAAAAATTGACATAATAGATAATTTAATATTGGATTATGGTGTAACTTGTGTACGAAAATGATATCACTGGAGCATCCTGCAATACGATAACCGACCCCGGCCCTTAAAAATAATATTTTATATCATTATATAAATATTGGGAAAATTAAACCTAACTTTATATATACAAGTTATAATAAATATCAATAAGTCTTTTTCTGTTAGTCTCCTTTTTAATATTAAGAGCAAAAGAAAGAAAAGACAATATATTTGGCAGTAAATGTATATTTTATCAACGAAGTGATTATTTATTCGTAAACTATCTCAAATTTACATGTAATAAACTATTATGTTGGAAGATTGCAGATACAATCATACGTAAGTTGCGAATACAATCATATTCAAGTACGGTATAAAAGCACGATGAAAATAAAAATAACGAGAAAATAATCGAATCTTGATTTCCTGTTCAACTTAGGTGCTTCTCAACGTTTCAGCTCGTTTAAAAAGCCAAGCCTTAGGACCGCTGACATTGTAATACTCGTTTATTAATAACTGAACAATATTTTACCTAAATAACTTGAACTCCATACAAACGGCGCTATGTCTGAGTGATATAATTATTAATCCCTCAGCCATGCCGGCGAGTTGGAACAGAAAAATAAATTATAATAAGTAAATGTAGCCTTTGAAACTTTCCCAAATTCAGAACGCTGTTATAAATTAACCAAATTTATTGTTGTCTCGCTTGTATTATTTAACTTTATAAGAACACAACTAAATGAACATTACGATAATAAATTCCCCCAGTCTCGTAGTTTCTGTACGGCCTGAAACTACGGAATTTATTTCTTATGGAATACTTTTCTTGAGGGATACTCATAACTCCTTGTATCTTATTTATGATTTCTTCTGCTTTATTTTGTGATGATGTGGTGAAAAAAAACGGACATTTACGATCTCGTGTTGCGACGAAAATATCTAACAGGGCACTCTCCACATTAAACTCTGCTTGAAATGTAATAATGATATTTGCTTGCTTATATAAATTTCTGCGTATATAATCCTCATATGACACACGGGTATTTTCAAAATAAAGCTTTCTATTTGAATGGCGGCATGCGCAGCAAACATTGTAGTATCCATTCCACTCACAATCTGTTTCTGGTTCTATCAATATAACTCTTAATTCGTTAATTACATTTCTAAAATTTCCATATTTACTGCAAAAATGCATAAATAGCTCCCACGATGGTAAACCCGTTATATCTGCTGAACTCGCACCTATGATATGTACGTTAAAGGGATATTGGGCTGGGTGTTTAAACCTACATTCCATTTTATACATTTTTGCTACATCAAGTAAATGTTCGAATTGCATTAACCCGTACCACAGTGTCAACGGAGCTGACATATAATCCGAATAGATGTAAGACAGCTCAGACCAAATTTCTATATTTGGATTTTTATAATTATTAACGTGTCGACTAATAAATGTAAACATGTCTTCAAAATCTAATTGCATTCGGAATAACTTCATTTGTTGTGGATATAACTTTATGTTAGCATTGTTGATAATTGAGATATTTAAGTTCAACAATATCAGTAAGTCCGTGCACACAGACTTGTGTTTTTGTTGAAATTTTAAATAGTGCTTGTCACAATAATTGGCGGAATAGCAAATGTTGCAGGTTCGCAGATTAACCTGTAGGTAACAAATAAGACATGATTTTACGCACATCATCATCTCTATCTCGTATGACTTTAAATCACGTGTTATTTTCATTTTAATTCCTTCTATAAATATCTTTCGAAACGAACTCCATTCTTCTTCTGATTTAAAAGCACGTTCGTTTGATTCCCAATATTCTGTTCTTACGTTTGCCATAATTACACAGATTTCCATATGCGAACTTTTATGTATCACTTGATGCAGATTGCAACAATAAAAGACCATGCCACACGAATCACATGGGAATAATTTGTCTTGGTTACTTGACTTACAGACATGGCAGATATTCGGATTAAAAAACTGATTATAATTATTTTCTGTGTATGATTCTGTAACTAAACGCAGCCTTTTAGTTATATCGAACATACTTATGCAATTAACAATTTTCAAATACTTTAATCTTTATATTAATTTAGAAATACTGGATATTTGAGCAGAGATAATAATTCTGTATTCGAATTCAATTTAGATGTTTAGTTTATGATAGTCCGAAGGACACTAACAAATTCGTGTATGTTTTCGAATACTCTGTGATTTATTGACAATAAATATTGTAACTGGCGAAATAACGAGTTTCTAACAGCCATTAGCACGTACAACATGTACATGCGTTGGTCGCGAATATTATGCATATAAACTGTAGGGCAATTATTCAGCTATCATCCGTACGACAGATATAATACGTGAATAATAGAATAATTAATATTAAATATACTTACACTAATTCATGTATTATTTATTTATGTAAACAATATAATGCTTATATATTAGTTAATTAATAAATGTTATCAAAGTAATAATTCTATTTTATATGAATATTTAAATTAAGTTTTGAGGAATTCAGATATAAATTATACTTTATACTTCCGTTTAATCATAATTTGAACTTTTGTAAGTTTCCCAAATTGGTATTTGCTTCTTTAAAAGAAAATTATTTAATTTTTTGTATTTTTAACCATGTTGTACCATCACGATAATCTCCGTTAAAATAAATATTATACATAAATATGTTGTGATGCTGCATATCAAATATGATGGTGGTGACTTTACAGGATGTTGAAAAAATCACGTTTCGGAAATTGCAATGATTCTTCTGGACACTCTATAAGTGTCCCAATCAAATCAAACCATACTTATTTGAACTTTCTTAAGGTATTTCATTTTCCACACTTTTTCAGAACTCTTCTCGTTAAGAAGAAATAAAATTGTTCTTATTTTTGAGATAAGTAATTTAATACTGGATCATAGTGTAACATGTATGAAAATGTACCCTATATCCCTGCATACTACTATGCAAAAACAGGCCTTTGAAGCATACATTTTTTCTTATATAAGAATTTTTTTGAAACTTGGTATACAGGAATCTTTGGAGTCGCCAATTACGAATATGGAGGCAAATTTTAAAAATTTTCAAAATTCAACATGGCAGACCCGACATGAAAATGAAAAAATGATCCCAATCACTGAAAATCGTGTATTCAGGGGAAATAAAAAGAAGGAACAAAGAACTAACTACGTTCTCGACGTTAGTTCTGAGTAATGCTAAAAACGAGATTTTTTAAAGATTTTTTATTTGCCACTATGCTTGACAGCAATTTTGAATTTTGTAATTATCATCATATTCGTAATCAGCTACTCCAAAACTTTCTAACATAAAATTATATAAAAATCAAGTCACTTTTTTAACTCCAATTTGTATTCTCCAATTTGAGCTCAAAAATCCTTGACTCTATTACCTAACAAATAAAATATTGTTACCTAACAAATAACATAATTTTAATGGTTGTTATATAGTAATTCATGTTATATAGTAGTTGATGCAGGAACTTAAATGTATTATTAAAGTCCTATTGGTTTATTGAAAAAAATGTAAAAATCATAAAAAAACATGTAGGGAAAGGATGCGATATGGGTATAACACTATGCCGCAAAGGATTAAAAGTAATATTTTATAACATTATAAAAATATTAGGAGAATCTAAACTAACTGTATATATACAAGTTATAATAAACGTTAGTAAGACTTTTTGTGGGAGACTCTTTTCTAAATTTTAAGAAGATAAGAAAGTAAAGACAATACACATGACAGTGAATATATTTTTTATTAACAAAGTTATTATTTATTCGTGAATACTAACAAATTTATATATAATAAAGAATAATGTTGAAAAATCGCGAAAACAATCATAACTAAGATGGAAATACAACTATGTTCAAGTAGAATATAAAATCACGATGAAAGTCAAAATAACGAGAAAATAATCAAATTGTAATTTTCTGTTCGGTTTGGGTACATTTTGCCGTTCTCGTCTCAAAAGCAAAGTCTTAGGAACGTTGACACTGTAATATCTGTGACGCACTTATCAATAGCTAAGCAAAACTTTATCTGAATAACACGAACTCCATATAAACGGCCTTAAGACTGAGTGATTAATTCCGCAGCCCTGCGAGCGAGTTGAAGTGGAAAAGTGAAGTATAATAAGTAGATGTAACCATACATATCGTTCTCAAACTGAAAGTAATTTCGAACGCTGCTTTATATGAATTAAATTTCATGTTATCTCCGTTCGTATTATTTAGATTCATAAGAACACAACTAAATAAGCATTACGATAAACAATTTCACCACTCTCATAGTTTCTGTACGGATTGTAACTCCGAAATTTATTTTCGACAGAACGATGTTCTCTAGGAATGTTCATAACTCCTTGTATCTTCTTTATGCTTTCTTCTGCTTTATTTTGTGACGAAGTGGTGAAAAAAACGGACATGTACGATCTTGTGTTGCGGAGACAATACCTAACAATGGACTTCCCACAGTAAATTCTGCTTGAAACGCAATAATGATATTTGCTTGCTTATACAAATTTGTGCGCACATAATCCTCATATGACACATGTGCATTTCCAAGATATAGCTGCCTATTTAATTCGAAGCATTTGCAGCAAACATTGTAGTATTTATACCAGTCACAATCCGTTTCTGGTACTACCAATATAATTTTTAATTCCATAATTTTATTTCGCGAAGATTTATATTGATTGAAAATATGTAAGAAAATCTCCCATGATGGTAAGCCCATTACATCTACCGAATTCGCACCTATGATATGTACGATAAAGAGATAACTTCTGTAGCGTCGACCTCGGTTAAGATAATATTCATGTCTATAAATCTGTGTTTCTTCAAATAAATTTGCAAATTCTTTTAACCCGTAATTTAGTGTCAGTGGCGCTGATATATAATTCAACAATATGTAACAATTTGCATCCCAAACTTTCGACAGTTTATTTTGTTAATAATGTATTGATTGACAAATGTAATCATGTTATCAAAATCTATTTTCATTCTGGTTAATTTTATATCATGTGAATACAATTATATAAAGTTATTTATACGTAAGATATTCAAATTCAGATGTACCAATAAATTCAAGCACATTGGCTTGTGTTTTTATACAAAACCCAATTGGTGCTTGTCACAATAATTGGCGGAGAAGCAGGTCCTGCAAGTTCGCAGTCTAATCTGTTGGTGACAAATGAGACATGATTAGGCGCACATTATCATCTCTTTCTCGTACGGCATTAGATCACGTGTTATGTTCATCCGAATTCCTTGCATAAATGTCTTTCGAAATGACCTCCATTCATCATCTGAGTTAAAAGGATGAGCGTTCAATTCCAAGTCTTCTGTTCTTGCAAATGAAATAACTGCACAGACTTCCATATGCGAGCTTTGATGAATCTTTTGGTGCGCCTTACAACAATAAAAGACCATGCCGCATGAATCACATGGCATTAATTCGTCTTGATTTGACTTCTTGCACACATGGCAGATATTCGGATTAAAAAACTGATTATATTTACTCTCTATATATGGTCCATAAAATAAATACAAGCGTTTAGTTATATACAACATAATATACTTAAGTAATTGACAATTATCAAATACTTTAATCGTTATGCTAACTTAGAAATAATGCTGGATCTTTGAGCGAAAATAATAATTTTGTACACGAATTCAATTTAGATGTTCAGTTAATGATAGCCCGAAGGACACTAATAATAGGTTCGAGTATGTTTTCGAATATTCTGTGATTTATTGACAATATATATTGTAACTAGCGAAATAACGATTTTCGAACAGCCAATAGGACGTACAACATTAACATGTGTACATCGCGGTAAGAGGCATAATATAAATTTAAATTTGTATTTAAATATGTATTTAAATACATTTAAATACATATTTGTCTACCCCTGACAGTAAGCAACGTATTACATTGCATTGCATTGCTCCCTTCACGCATTGTATTGCTCTTTTTAATTCTTCTGACAAATATGAGTTTCTTGCTATACCACCACAATTACAATAAATGAATATGGACGAACACAATGATGATAATAAACAATTAACATATTTAACAGTAACAAAAGTAATAGTAATATTTTATATCATTATATAAACGTAATATTTTATATCAATATATAAATATAAGGAAAATCTAACTTATCTTTATATATACAAGTTACAATAAAAGTCAATAAGTCTTTTTAAGGGAGCTCTTATCTTAAATTATAAAAGGAAAAGAAAGTAAAGAGAATATATTGACAGTGCATGTTTTATCAATAAAGTGATTATTTATTCGCGAATATTATCAAATTTACATGTAATAAAATATAATATCGAAAAATTACTATCATAACTAAATTATACTATCATAACTAAGTTGTGAATACCATCTTACTTCAAATAAAATATAAAGTCACGATCAAAATAAAAACAACGAGAAAATAATCAAATTTTGACTTTCTATTCGGCTTGGGTATCTTTTGCTATTTTAGCTCGTCCGAAAAGCCAAGCCTTAGGAACGCTGACATTGTAATATCTATGAGACGTTTATCAATAGCTGAACAAAATATTATCTGTATAACTTAAACCCTATATAACCCTATATATTTATCAATAGCTGAACAAAATATTATCTGTATAACTTAAACCCTAAGGCTGAGCGATACAATTATTAATCCTGTAGACCTGCGCGCAAGATATAGTGGAAAAAGGAAGTATAATCAGTAAACGCAATCTCGAATCCGTTTCCAAGCGGAAGGTAATTCCGAATGCTCTTATATATATGAACTAAATTTCTTGTCGTTTCCCTTGTATCATTTAAATTCAAAAGAACACAACTAAATAAGCATTACGATAATAAATTCCACCAGTATCGTAGTTTCTGTACGGTTTGTAACTAAGAAATTTATTTTCTACTGAACGCTGTTCTCTAGAAACATTCATAACTCCTTTTATCATACTTATGCATTCTTCTGCTTTATTTTGTGACGCAGTCGTGAAAAAAAACGGACATGTACGATCTTGTGTTGCGATGAAAATGTTTAACAGTGGACTCCCCAAACTAAATTCTGCTTGATATGCAATAATGATATTTGCTTGTTTATATAAATTTGTGCGCACATAATCCTCATATGACACCCGTGCATTTCCAAGAAATAGATGCCTCCCGCCATCGACGCATCTGCTGCAAACATTGTAGTATTCATTCCTGTCACAATCTGTTTCTGGTACTACCAATAAAATTCGTAATTCCATAATTTTATTTCGTAAAAATTTTAATCGATTGAATATATGTAAGAAAATCTCCCATGATGGTAAGCCCGTTACATCTGCTGAACTCGCACCTATGATATGTACGATAAAGATATAACTTCTGGTGCGTATAAATCCGGTAACATTATATTCTGGTCTATAAATCTGTGCTTCTTCAAATAAATTTGCAAATTCCTTTAACCCGTAAAATAGGGTCAGTGGAGCTGATATATAATCCGAATATATGTAAGAATTTTCATTCCAAGATTCTATCCTTGTTATATGTTTATTAATGTATTGATTAACAAATGAAATCATGTCATCAAAATCTATTTTTAATTTGGTAAACCTCATATTTTGTGAATACGGATTTATACATTTGTTTATATTTAAGAGATTAAAATTCAGGAATACCAATAAATTCGTGCACATTGACACGTGTTTTTCTTGAAAATCCAATTGGTGCTTGTCACAATAATTGGCGGAATAGCAGGTCCTGCAAGTTCGCAGACTAATCTGTTGATGACAAATGAGACATGATTTTGCGCACATTACCATCTCTTTCTCGTACGGCATTAGATCACGTGTTATTTTCGTCCGAATTCCTTGCATAAATGCCTTTCGAAATGACCTCCATTCATCATCTGATTTAAAAGGATGAGCGTTCAATTCCAAGTCTTCTGTTCTTGCAAATGGAATAACTGCACAGACTTCCATATGCGAGCTTTGATGCATTATTTGATGCTCCGTGGAACAATAAAAAACCATGTCGCACGAACCACATGGAATTAATTCGCTTTCATTCGGCCTCTTGCAGACATGACAGATATTCGGATTGAAAAACTGATTATAATTATTTTCTGTGTATAATTCATCAAATCTATACAAGTCTATAGTTATGCGGGACATAATATACTGATGTAATTGACAGTTATCAAATACTTTAATCGTTATATTCACTAAGAAATAATGCTGGATATATGAGCGAAGGTAACAATTCTGTACACGACAATTCTGTGCACGAATTCAGTTTTGATGTTCAGTTGATAATAGCCGGAAAGACACTAATAATAGATTTGTGTATGTTTTCGAATAATACGTGATTTATTGACAATATATATTGTAACTGGCGAAATAACGAATTTCGAATAACCGTTAGCACATACAATATGTGTACACGTGTAAATTGCCAATATTATAAATATAAGCTGTACGACAATTATTCAGCTATCATTCATACGTCACATATATACCATAAACTAATAATAAATAATTAAAATGAAATATACCTATACAAAAATATATACTATTTATTTATATAAATAGAGTGGTGTGTATCAATTAATTAATTAAAAAATGTTATCATAGTAATAATTCTATTTTATATGAATATTTAAATTAAATTTTGAGAAATTCAGTTATGAATTATACTTTATCCTTCCGCTTAATCATATTTTGAACTTCCGTTTGCTGTATACAAGCTTTCGCGCAGTGCAGGCACAAGTCGTAGAACTTAAGGAAATGTTTTACTTTGAAAATTTCATCAAAAAATACTGACTTTCTTTTTTTAAATTTTATTCACTGTGTTAAATAATATAATACCAATTTCTATTTTCTTTACTTAAGATATATGTATTTTCATTTTTACCATATCATGAAATATTGTAACTGAGAATCATTCTGATATTTTGTTTCAATGTACTTTTCCTAAAGGATAAGGAAAAGTTTAAACAAATTTGTCTCTTTAATCTTCTTATGATATTATTTTATCAGTGTTTGATATACGTTTATTACAATAAAATATCGTTTTTAATGCTTAATATGCTTAATAGTATAAAATACTATTTATAATATTTTATAATAATTTAACTTCTTTCTTTCTTTCTTTCAATAGGTGGTGCGTTAATTACTTGCAAATACACAAATGTACCAAGAACAATCGGATCCTGTTCAGACTTGATAATATATTAAATCTAACGTTTGCAAGATATCAGTCAAACATTTTTAGAACTACTGCTTTTCTATTTTTGGTGAAGACCAGATTGCTCCGACGATAAATGTATGCAGTGACGGTAATCCAGCTTGGTCCCTTTTTTCTTCGTGTTTCCCAACTGGGATTTTATTTAAATCAGTTAGGTAGAACTTTTTATTATATTTCTTCCTTTCAATTTAATTTGCACAATTTTTTTAAATTGCTCGTTTGCGATAACTTCGAAAAACAGGAATTCTTGTCACATTCGTTTATTGCACACTGGTTACGAATATCAATTAATGCATATGCAATAAAACCAATGTTATTTGAGAGGACCAAAATATCTGTTTGTTAACAATCAGTGTCGAGTGAAGATCAGGTTTCGTTTATAGGTTCTTATAAAAGAGCATGGAGAAAATTTCGAGAATATGAGAAGCGTACGTTAAATACAGTTCTACGATATATTAAAAATGTAAGTTTCTCAAATTAATATTTCTTTCTTTTAAATAACTTTTGTATAAATATGTATTTTTAACCATGTTGTACCACCACGATAATCTCCATTAAAATAAATATTATACATTAATACGTAGTTGTACGTAGATGTTGCATATAAAATATGATGGTTGTAACTCTACAGGATGTTGAAAAAATTGCGTTTCGAAAATTGAAATGTTTCTTTTGGACACCCTATAAGTCCCGAAACACCCGAAACAAATCAGAATATATCATACTTGTTTGTACCTTCCTAAAATATTTTATTTTCCACACATTCTTCAGAGCCACAGCTCTTCTCGTTCCGAAGAAAAATATTTTATTTTATATTAGAGCTTGACGACATAACTCAGGAATCACGAGGCAACAGATGATAATATGATAAGTATTTTGTAATTGCATCAAATTTTGAAAATATTCAAAATTCAATATGGCGAAACCGACATGAGAATATAAAAATGATCCCAATTATTGAAAATAGTGTATTCAGGGGAAGTAAAAAAATGGAACAAGGAACACGCTACGTCCTCGGCCTTAGTTCTGGGTAATGCTAAAAGCAAGATTTCTTAATGATTTACTATTTGCCACATGTTTTACTGCAATTTTGTAATTGTCAACATATTCGTAAGCGGCTACACCAAAAACTTCCTAACATAAAGTTATTTAAAAGTCAAGTCACAATTTTACCTCCAAATCGAATTATGATTCCAAAAATCTCTGACTCTATTACCTAACAAGTAAAATATTTTTAACTAATAAAAAACATAATTTTAATAGTTGTAATATATTTATTCATGTTATACAGTTGTTCATGTAGGAACTCAAATATATGATGAAAATCTTATTGGTTTTTTGAAAAAATTTAAAATCATAAAAAACAGTAGTGTAAGGTGCAATATGGGATTCGCACTATGCCGCAAAGGGTTTAAAATAATATTTTATAATATTACAAAAATATTAGGAGAATCTAACTTAACTGTATATATACCTGTTATAATAAACGTTAGTAAGACTTTTTGTGGGAGTCTCTTTTCTAAATTTTAAGAAGATAAGAAAGTAAAGACAATAAACTTAACAGTTAATGTATTTTTTATCAACGAAGTGATTATTTATTCGTGAATGCTATCCAATTTACATATAATAAAGAATAGTGTTCAAATATTGCGGAAAAAAACATAACTAAGTTGCAAATATAATTATGTTCAAGTAAAATATAAAATTACGATGAAAATTAAAGTAATGAGAAAATAATCGAATCTTGATTTTCTATTCGGCATATACATTTTGCAGTTCCAGCTCTGCTGAAGGCTAAGCCTTAGGACTGTTGACATTGTAATATCTGTGAGGCACTTATCATTAGCCAAACAAAATTTTACCTAAATAATTTAAACTCATAAAAACGGTTCTAAGGCTGAACCATACAATTGTTAATCCCGCGGTTCGCGGGGGCGAGTTAAAGTGAAAAAGGGAAATATATGTAGCCTCGAAAATATTCTCAAACTAAAAGTAATTCCAAACGCCGTTATATATGAATTAAATTTTTTTAATTTTGTTTGCATTATTTAAATTCATAAGAACACAACTAAATAAGCATTACGATAATAAATTTCACCAGTATCGTAGTTTCTGTACGGTTTGTAACTTCGAAATTTATTTTCTACAGAACGATGTTCTCTAGGAACATTCATAACTTCTTGTATCTTCCTTATGTTCTCTTCTGCTGTACTTTGTGACGCAGTGGTGAAAAAAAACGGACATGTACGATCTTGCGTTGCGATGAAAATGTTTAACAGTGCATTTCCCAAACTAAAATCTGCTTGAAATGCAATAATGATATTTGCTTGTTTATACAAATTTGTGCGCACATAATCCTCATATGACACTCTTGCATTTCCAAGATATAGCTTCCTCTTGATATAGTAGCAAGTTTTGCAAACATTGTAGTATTCATTCCTGTCACAATCTGTTTCTGGTATTACCAATATAATTCGTAATTCCTTAATTTTATTTCGTGAAAATTCTAATTGATTGAATATATGTAAGAAAATCTCCCATGATGGTAAGCCCGTTACATCTGCTGAACTCGCACCTATGATATGTACGATAAAGATATAACTTCTGGTGCGTATATGTCCGGTAACATTATATTCTGGTCTATAAATCTGTGCTTCTTCAAATAAATTTGTGAATTCCTTTAACCCGTAAAATAGGGTTAGTGGAGCTGACATATAATCCGAATATAAATAAGAATTCTCATTCCAAACTTCCACATTTTTATATTTGGTATTAATGTGTTGATAAACAAATGTAAACATATCATCAAAATCTATTTTTATTTTGGTAAACTTGATATGTTGTGGATACGAATTTATAATACATTTGTTTATACTTAAAAGATTAAAGTTCAAGAATACTAATAAACTCGTGCACATTAACTCGTGTTTTTTTTTAAAATCCAATTGGTGCACGTCACAATAATTGGCGGAATAGCAGGTCTTGCAAGTTCGCAGACTAATCTGTTGATGACAAATGAGACATGATTTTGGGCACATTATTATCTCTTTCTCGTATGGCTTTAGATTACGTGTTATTTTCGTCTGAATTCGTTGCATAAATGTCTTTCGAAATGACCTCCATTCATCATCTGAGTTAAAAGGACGAGCGTTCAACTCCAAGTCTTCTGTTCTTGCAAATGGAATAACTGCACAGACTTCCATATGCGAGCTTTGATGCATTATTTGATGCTCCGTAGAACAATAAAAGACCATGCCGCACAAACCACATGGCATTAATTCGCCTTGATTCGGCTTCTTGCAGACATGACAGATATTCGGATTGAAAAACTGATTATAATTATTTTCTGTGTATAATACATCAAATTTAAACAACTCTTTAGTTATGTTGAACATAATATACTGATGTAATTGACAGTTATCAAATACTTTAATCGTTATATTCACTTAGAAATAATGCTGGATATATGAGCGAAGATAATAATTCTGTATACGACAATTCTGTGCACGAAATCAGTTTTGATGTTCAGTTGATGATAGCCGGAAGGACACTAATAATAGATTTGTGTATGTTTTCGAATATAACGTCATTTATTGACAATGTATATTGTAACTGGCGAAATAACGAGTTTCGAATAGCCATTAGCACATACAATATGTGTACACGTGTAAATTGCCAATATTATAAATATAAGCTGTACGACAATTATTCAGCTATCATCCATACGTCACATATATATCATAAACTAGTAATAAATAATTAAAATGAAATATACCTTCACAAAAATATATACTATTTATTTATATAAACAGGGTGGTGTGAATCAATTAATTAATTAAAAAATGTTGTCCCAGTAATAATTCTATTTTATATAAATATTATTTTATATAAATATTTAAATCAAATTTTGAGAAATTCAGTTATGAATTATACTTTATACTTCCGTTAAATTATATTTTGAAATTCCATTTGCAATATACAAGCACTCGCGCAGTGCAGACACAAGTCGCAGAACTTAAGGAAATGTTTTACATTAAAAATTTCATCGAAAAATACTGACTCTTTTTTAAATTTTACTCACTGTGTTAAATAAATATAATACCAATTTCTATTTTTTATACTTAAGATATATATTTTTTCATTTTTAACATACCATAAAATATTATAACTGAGAATCATTCCGATATTTTGTTTTAATGTACTTTTCCTAAAGAATAGGGAAAAATTTAAACAAATTTGTCTCTTTAACCTTCTTAGGATGTTATAAAATTTATTAATTAATTTAATATCAGTTTAATTTTTTATTAGTGTTTGAAATACGTTTATTAGAACAAAATATTGTTGTTAATGCTTAATATGCTTAATAGTATAAAATACTATTTATAATATTTTATAATAATTTAATTTCTTTCTTTCTTTCAATAGGATGTTGCGTTAATTACTTGCGAATACACAAATGTGCTAAGAACAATCGGATCCTGTTCACACTTGGTACTATATTAAATCTAACGTTTGCAAGATATTAGTCAAAAATTTTTAGACCTACAGCTTTTCTATTTTTGATGGAGACCAGATTGCTTCGACGATAAATCCATGCAGTGACGGTAATCCAGCTTTGCCACTTTTTTCCTCGTGTTTCCTAAATGAGATTTTATTTAAATCAGTTAGGTAGGACTTTTTATTATGTTTCTCCCTTGCAACTTTATTGGTATTATTTTCTTTTAATTGCTGGTTTGCGATATCTTAGAATCGATGATTACAAATATGGAGACAAATTTTCAAAATTTTCAAAATTCAATATGGCGGAACCGACATGAAAATGTAAAACTGATCCCAATTACTGAAAATTGTCTATTCAGGGGAAGTAAAAAAATGGAACCAGGAACACGCTACGTCCTCGGCGTTAGTTCTGTGTAATGCTAAAAGCGAGATTTCTTAGTGATTTACTATTTGCCACCATGTTTTGCTGCAATTTTGTAATTGTCAACATATTCGTAACCAGCTACACCAAAAATTTCCTAACATAAAGTTATAAAAAGTGAAGTCACTTTTTTATCTCCAAATCGAACTATGTGATTCCAAAAACCTCTGACTCTATTACCTAACAAGTAAAATATTTTTACCTAACAAAAAACATAATTTTAATGGTTGTTATACAGTTATTCATGTTATACAGTTGTTCATGTAGGAACTCAAATATGTGATTAAAGTCTTATTGGTTTTTTTGAAAAAAATTTAAAATCATAAAGAACAAAGTAGGGAAAGGTGCCATATGAGTATGGCACTATGACGCAAAGGGTTTAAAATAATATTTTATAACATTACAAAAATATTAGGAGAATCTAACATAAATGTATATATACATGTTATAACAAACATGTATATATACATGTTATAATAAACATGTTATAACAACCATTAAAATTATGTTTTTTGTTAGGTAAAAATATTTTTCTTGTTAGGTAATAGAGTCAGAGGTTTTTGGAATCACATAGTTCGATTTGGAGATAAAAAAGTGACTTCACTTTTTATAACTTTATGTTAGGAAATTTTTGGTGTAGCTGGTTACTAAAACTTTTTGTGGGAGTCTCTTTTCTAAATTTTATGAAGGTAAGAAAGTAAAGACAATACATTTGACAGTGTAATTTTTATCAACGAAGTGATTATTTATACGTGAATACTATTTAAATTACATATAATATAGAATAATGTTGCAAAATTGCAGAAACAATCATAACTAAATTGCAAATAAAATTATGTTCAAGTAGAATATAAAGTTACGATAAAAATCAAACTAATATGAAAATAATCGAATCTTGATTTTTTGTTCGGTTTAGTTGTTCGATTAGTTGTTCGGTATATTTTACCGTTCTACCTCGACTGAAGAGCCAAGCCTTAGGACCGTTGAAACTGAAATATTTGTGAGGCACTTATCAATAGCCAAATAAAAATTTATATGTATAACATAAACTCCATATAAACTCCATATAAGGCTGAGTAATACAATTGTTAATCCCGCGATCCTGCGGGCGAGTTAGAGTGGAAAAGCAAAGTATATATAGCCTTGAAAACATTCCAAACTAAAGGTAATTCCGAAAGCTGTTTAATATGAACTAAATTTTTTGTAGTTTTGCTTGTTTTATTTAAATTCATTAGAACGCAACTAAAGAAGCATTACAGTAATAAATTTCACCAGTCTTGTCACCCGTCGGGCAGGCGAGCGCACGGACGTCCAAGTAGTGTGTATGTATGTGTGTGTGTGTAGCAAGAATCTTCCAAGCTTACAAATTCGTTGTTTTTTATATACGGTGTCCAAAAATTCACATTTATTATATGCAATTTCTTTCGTTAATAATTTTTTAAGAAACAACGAGCGATACCTAAAACTTTTTGAGTGTTACTCGAAAGGGTAACGTCTATGACATATGTCAAGGTCACTGGAGGTTGCTTCGTTAAAATGCATGATTATCTGTGTTTGATATATTTATAGATTATATTATATATTCGAATAACTAAAATAATATTCATTCATACAATTATTGAAATTGGACAATATAAACGGAAGAAGCAAACTTAGCCCAATTAAAAGCATACAGGTGGAATATAAAAATGTCTCACGGAGAGATCCCGAAATCTAATCAAGATACAAATTCTATACGTGATCTCTTTCTACATCGCCTTATTGGTTATTGTGTTACAAGTTTGAATTTTGGCTTTTATCAAACCAAATATATAGTAAATATATTTATATTGGAATATTTATATTTATAAAGGAATATGGCGAACAGGAAGAGATAGAAAATAACGCATATAGAAAAAGACCTTTATCATGTTTGCTCAGTCTGTCACCATAATTAGTTGTCTGATAAATTGCAACTTCAAAGTTCTGAAATATAGGATTTCTTGCTACTATGCAAGATATTACAACATTATTTCACATTAAATACATAATATTCATTAAATCGATTAATAAAACCCTATAACATATGTTACGCGCTTTTAAAGCGAAAGAAAGTAAAGACAATATATTTGACAGTGAATGTATATTTTACCAACAAAGTGATTTTTTATACGCGAATTCTATCAAATTTATATGTAATAAACAATAATGTTGGAAAATTGTGGATACAATCATAACTAAATTGCAAAATCAATCCTATCCAAGTAGAGGAATAGAAATATAAGTATATAAAAACACAATGAAAAAAAAATCAAACTAACGAAAAAATTAACGGATATTGATTTTCTGTTCGGTTAAGGTACATTTTGCCGATTGATCTTGGCTAAAGATTCAAGCCTGACTACCGTTGATTCTAAAACCCGTGAGGCAATTATCAATAGCAGAATAAAATTTTATTTGAATAACATAAATTTCATAAAAATGGCCCGAAGGTTAAGTAACAAAGTTTTTAATCCCGTTACCCTCCGAGCCAGTTAGAGTGGAAAAGGGAAATATACGTAGCCTCGAAAACATTCTCAAACTGAAAGTAATTCCGAACCCCGTTATATATGAAATAAATTTTTTGAATTTTGTTTGCAGTATTTAAATTCATAAGATCACAACTAAATAAGCATTACGATAATAAATTTCACCAGTATCGTAGTTTCTATACGGTTTGTAACTTCGAAATTTATTTCCTACAGAACGATGTTCTCTAGGAACATTCATAACTTCTTCTATCTTCCTTATGTTCTCTTCTGCTGTACTTTGTGACGCAGTGGTGAAAAAAAACGGACATGTACGATCTTGCGTTGCGATGAAAATGTTTAACAGTGCATTTCCCACACTAAATTCTGCTTGAAATGCAATAATGATATTTGCTTGTTTATACAAATTTGTGCGCACATAATCCTCATATGACACTCTTGCATTTCCAAGATATAGCTTCCTCTTGATATGGCAGCAATTTGTGCAAACATCATAGTATTCATTCCTGTCACAATCTGTTTCTGGTATTACCAATATAATTCGTAATTCCCTAATTTTATTTCGTGAAAATTCTAATTGATTGTATATATGTAAGAAAATCTCCCATGATGGTAAGCCTGTTACATCTGCTGAACTCGCACCTATGATATGTACGATAAAGATATAACTTCTGGTGCGTATATATTCGGTAACATTATATTCTGGTCTATAAATCTGTGCTTCTTCAAATGAATTTGCGAATTCCTTTAACCCGTAAAATAGGGTCAGTGGAGCTGACATATAATCCGAATATAAATAAGATTTCTCACTCCAAACTTTCATATTTCTATCTCTGTAATTAATGTATTGAATAACAAATGTAAACATGTCATCAAAATCTATTTTTATTCCGGTAAACTTCATATTTTGTGAATACGGATTCATATATTTGTTTATACTTAAGAGATTAAAATTCAGGAATACCAATAAATTCGTGCACATTGACACGTGTTTTTTTTTAAAATCCAATTGGTGCACGTCACAATAATTGGCGGAATAGCAGGTCCTGCAAGTTCGCAGACTAATCTGTTGATGACAAATGAGACATGATTTTGCGCGCATTATCATCTCTTTCTCGTACGGCATTAGATCACGTGTTATTTTCATCCGAATTTCTTGCATAAATGTCTTTCGAAATGACCTCCATTTATCATCTGACTTAAAAGGATGAGCGTTCAATTCCAAGTCTTCTATTCTTGCAAATGGAATAACTGCACAGACTTCCATATGCGAGCTTTGATGCATTATTTGATGCTCCGTGGAACAATAAAAAACCATGTCGCACGAACCACATGGAATTAATTCGCTTTTATTCGGCCTCTTGCAGACATGACAGATATTCGGATTGAAAAACTGATTATAATTATTTTCTGTGTATAATTCATCAAATCTATACAAATTTGTAGTTATGTGGGACATAATATATTGATGTAATTGACAGTTATCAAATACTTTAACCGTTATATTCACTTAGAAATAATGCTGGATATATGAGCGAAGGTAACAATTCTGTACACGACAATTCTGTGCACGAATTCAGTTTTGATGTTCAGTTGATGATAGCCGCAAGGACACTAATAATAGATTTGTGTATGTTTTCGAATATTACGTGATTTATTGACAATATATATTGTAACTGGCGAAATAACGAGTTTCGAATAGCCGTTAGCACATACAATATGTGTACACGTGTAAATTGCCAATATTATAAATATAAGCTGTACGACAATTATTCAGCTATCATCCACACGTCACATATATATCATAAACTAATAATAAATAATTAAAATGAAATATACCTATACAAAAATATATACTATTTATTTATATAAATAGGGTGGTGTGTATCAATTAATTAATAAAAAAATGTTATCACAGTAATAATTCTATTTTATATGAATATTTAAATTAAATTTTGAGGAATTCAGTTATGAATTATACTTTATCCTTCCGCTTAATCATATTTTGAACTTCCGTTTGCTGTATACAAGCTTTCGCGCAGTGCCGACACAAGTCATAGAACTTAAGGAAATGTTTTACTTTGAAAGTTTCATCGAAAAATACTGACTTTCTTTTTTTAAATTTTATTCACTGTGTTAAATAAATATAATACCAATTTCTATTTTCTTTACTTAAGATATATGTATTTTCATTTTTACCATATCATAAAATATTGTAAGTGAGAATCATTCTGATATTTTGTTTCAATGTACTTTTCCTAAAGGATAGGGAAAAGTTTAAACAAATTTGTCTCTTTAACTTTCTTATGATGTTGTTTTATCAGTGTTTGATATACGTTTATTTCAATAAAATATCGTTTTTAATGCTTAATATGCTTAATAGTATAAAATACTATTTATAATATTTTATAATAATTTAACTTCTTTCTTTCTTTCTTTCTTTCTTTCTTCCTTTCTTTCTTTCTTTCAATAGGTGGTGCGTTAATTACTTGCAAATACACAAATGTGCCAAGAACAATCGGATCCTGTTCCGACTTGGTATTATATTAAATCTAACGTTTGCAAGATATCAATCAAACATTTTTAGAACTACTGCTTTTCTATTTTTGGTGAAGACCAGATTGCTTCGGCGATAAATCTATGCAGTGACGGTAATCCAGCTTGGCCCCTTTTTTCTTCGTGTTTCCCAACTGAGATTTTATTTAAATCAGTTAGGTAGGACTTTTATTATATTTCTTCCTTTCAACTTGATTTGTACAATTTTTTTAATTGCTCGTTTGCGATAACTTAGAATTCGAAAAACAGGAATTCTTGTCACATTCGTTTATTGCACACTGGTTACGAATATCAATTAATGCATGTGCAATAAAATCAATGTTATTTGGATGCAGAGAGGACCAAAATATCTGTCTGTTAATAATTGGTGTCTAGTGAAGATCGGGTTTCGGATATAGGTTCTTACAAGAGAGCATGGAAAAAATGTCGAGAATATGAGAAGTGTACGTTAAATACAGTTCTACGATATTTTAAAAATGTAAGTTTCCTAAATTGGTATTTCCTTCTTTTAAATAACAGTTGTATAAATTTGAATTTTTAACTATGTTGTACGATCACGATAATCTCCATTAAAATGAATATTATACATTAGTATGTAGTAATGTTGCATATGAAATATGATGGTTGTAACTCTACAGGATGTTGAAAAAATCACGTTTCGAAAATTGAAATGTTTCTTTTGGACACCCTATAAGTGTCCGAATCAAATCAGATCATACTTGTTTCTACCTTCTTAAAATATTTTATTTTCCACACATTTTTCAGAGCCATAGCTCTTCTCATTCCGAAGAAAAATATTTTATTTTATATTAGAGCTTGATGACATAACTCTGGAACCACGAAGTAACAGATGTTAATATGATAAGTAATTCCATATTGCATCAAGGTGTAACATGTGTGAAAATAAACCCGATATCCCTGAAGGCATCCTATCATATGAAAAGAAACCACGGCCATAAATATTTCCTTATATACGAATTTTTTAAAACTTAGTATAGAGATCTTTTGGGACGCGGATTACGAATGTGGTGTCAAATTTTGAAAATATTCAAAATTCAATATGGCGAAACCGACATGAGAATATAAAAATGATCCCAATTACAGAAAATAGTGTATTCAGGGGAAGTAAAAGAATGGAACAAGGAACACGCTACGTGCTCGGCGTTAATTCTGAGTAATGCTAAAAGCGAGATTTCTTAGGGATTTACTATTTGCCACATGTTTTACTGCAATTTTGTAATTGTCAACATATTCGTAAGCAGCTACACCAAAATCTTCCTAACATAAAGTTATTTAAAAGTCAAGTCACTTTTTTACCTCCAAATCGAACACAGAAACCTCTGACTCTATTACCTAACATGTAAAATGTTACCTAACAAAGAACATAATTTTAATGATTGTTGTATAGTTACTCATGTTATACAGTTGTTCATGTAGAAACTCAATTATGTAATTAAAGCCTTATTGGTTTTTTGAAAAAAATTTAAAATCATAAAAAACAGAGTAGGGAAAGGCGCGATATGGGTATGGCACTATGCTGCAATGAGTTAAAAATAATATTTTATAACATTATAAAGATATTAGGAGAAACTAACCTAATTGTATATATACAAGTTATAATAAACGTTAGTAAGACTTTTTGTAGGAGACTCTTTTCTAAATTTTATGAAGGTAAGAAAATAAAGACAATACATTTGACAGTGTAATTTTTATCAACGAAGTGATTATTTATTCGTAAATACTATTTAAATTACATATAATAAAGAATAATGTGAAAAAATTGTGGAAACAATCATAACTAAATTGCAAATAAAATTATGTTCAAGTAGAATATAAAATTACGGTGAAAATCAAACTAACATGAAAATAATCGAATCTTGATTTTTTGTTCGGTTAAGGTATATTTTGCCGTTCTAGCTCGACTAAAGAGCCAAGCCTTAGGACTGTTAAAACTGAAATATCTGTGAGGCATTTATAAATAGCCAAACAAAACTTTATCTGCATAACTTAAACTCAATATAAACTCCATATAAGGCTGAGTAATACAATTGTTAATCCCCCGGCCCTGCGGGCGAGTTAGAGTGGAAAAGGAAAGTATATATAGACTTGAAAACATTCCAAACTAAAGGTAATTCCGAAAGCTGTTATATATCAACTAAATTTTTTGTAGTTTTGCTTGTTTTATTTAAATTTATAAGAACGCAACTAAAGAAGCATTACGATAATAAATTTCACCATTTTTGTCAGCCGTCGGGCGGACGAGCGCACGGACGTCCAAATAGTGTGTATGAATGTGTGTGTGTAGCAAACATCTTCCTAGCTTACAAATTCGTTGTTTTTTATATACGGTGTCCAAAAATTCACATTTATTTTATGCAATTTCTTTTGTTAATAATTTTTTAAGAAACAACGAGCGATACCTAAAACTTTTTGAGCGTTACTCAAAAGGGTAACGTCCATGACATATGACAAGATCAAGGTCACTGGAGGTTGCTTCGTGCAAAATGCATAATTATCTGTGTTTGATATATTTTTAGATTATATTATATATTCGAATAACTAAAATAATATTCATTCATACAATTATTGAAATTGGACAATATAAACGGAAGAAGCAAACTTAGCCCAATTAAAAGCATACAAGTGGAATATAAAAATGTCTCACGGGGAGATCCCGGAATCTAATCAAGATACAAATTTTATACGTGATCTCTTTCTACATCGCCTTATTGGTTATTGTGTTACAAGTTTGAATTTTGGCTTTTACCAAACCAAATATATAGTAAATATATTTATATTGGAATATTTATATTTATAAAGGAATATGACGAGCAGGGAGAGGTGGAAAATAACGCATATAGAAAAAGACCTTTATCATGTTTGCTTAGTCTGTCACCACAATTAGTTGTCTGATAAATTGCAACTTCAAAGTTCTGAAATATAGGATTTCTTGCTACTATGCAAGATATTACAAAATTATTTTACATTAAATACATAATATTCATTAAATCGATTAATAAAACTCTATAACATATGTTACGCATTTTTAAAGGGAAAGAAAGTAAAGACAATATATTTGACAGTGAATGTATATTTTACCAACAAAGTGATTTTTTATACGCGAATTCTATCAAATTTATATGTAATAAACAATAATGTCGAAAAATTGTGGATACAATCATAACTACATTGCGAAAACAATCCTATCCAAGTACAGGAATAGAAATATAAGTATATAAAAACACAATGAAAAAAAAATCAAACTAACGAAAAAATTAAAGGATATTGATTTTCTGTTCGGTTAAGGTACATTTTGCCGATTCATCTTGGCTAAAGATCCAAGCCTGACTAGCGTTGATTCTGTAAAACCCGTGAGGCAATTATCAATAGCGGAATAAAATTTTATTTGAATAACATAAATTTCATAAAAATGGCCCTAAAGCTAAGCAACAAAGTTATTAATCCCGTGACCCTCAGAGCCAGTTAGAGTGGAAAAGGAAAATATACGTAGCCTCGAAAACATTCTCAAACTAAAAATAATTCCGAACACCATTATATATTAATTAAATTTTTTGAAGTTTTTTTTGCATTATTTAAATTCATAAGATCACAACTAAATAAGCATTACGATAATAAATTTCACCAGTATCGTAGTTTCTGTACGGTTTGTAACTTCGAAATTTATTTTCTACAAAACGATGTTCTCTAGGAACATTCATAACTTCTTCTATCTTCCTTATGTTCTCTTCTGCTTTATTTTGTGACGCAGTGGTGAAAAAAAACGGACATGTATGATCTTGTGTTGCAATGAAAATATCTAACAGTGGACTCCCCATACTAAATTCTGCTTGAAATGCAATAATGATATTTGCTTGTTTATATAAACTTGTGCGCACATAATCCTCATATGACACACTTGCATTTCCAAGATATAGCTGCCTCTTGATATCGACGCATTTTCTGCAAACATTGTAGTATTCATTCCTGTCACAATCTGTTTCTGGTACTACCAATATAATTCGTAATTCCATAATTTTATTTTGTGAAAATTTTAATTTATTGAATATATGTAAGAAAATCTCCCATGATGGTAAGCCCATTACATCTGCTGAACTCGCACCTATGATATGTACGATAAAGAAATAACTTCTGGAGCGTATAAGTCGGTTAACTTTATATTCTTGTCTATAAATCTGTGCTTCTTCAAATGAATTTGCGAATTCCTTTAACCCGTAAAACAGGGTCAGTGGAGCTGACATATAATCCAAATATAAATAAGAAATCTCATTCCAAACTTCCACATTTTTATATTTGGTATTAATGTATTGATAAACAAATGTAAACATGTCATCAAAATCTATTTTTATATCAATAAACTTTATTTTTTGTGGATACGAATTTATATTAAAGGTTTTTATACTTAAGATATTAAAATTCAGGAATACCAATAAATCCGGGCACATTAACTCATGTTTATTTTTAAAATCCCATTGGTGCTCGTCACAATAATTGGCGGAATAGCAGGTCCTGCAAGTTCGCAGACTAATCTGTTGATGACAAATGAGACATGATTTTGCGCACATTATCATCTCTTTCTCGTACGGCATTAGATCACGTGTTATTTTCATCCGAATTCCTTGCATAAATGTCTTTCGAGATGACCTCCATTTGTCATCTGAATTAAAAGGACGAGCGTTCGACTCCAAGTCTTCTATTCTTGCAAATGGAATAACTGAACAGACTTCCATATGCGAGCTTTGATGCATTATTTGATGCTCCGTGGAACAATAAAAGACCATGTCGCACGAACCACATGGTATTAATTCGCCTTGATTCGGCTGCTTGCAGACATGACAAATATTCGGGTTAAAAAACTGATTATAATTATTTTCTGTGTTTGGTTCACACAATGAAAACAAGGTTTTAGTTATATTGTACATAATATACTCATATAATTGACAGTAATCAAATACTTTAATCGTTGTATTCACTTAGAAATAATGGTGGATATATGAGCGAAGGTAATAATTCTGTATACAACAATTCTGTACACGAATTCAGTTTAGATGTTAAGTTGAGTATAACCCGAAGAACACTAATAACAGATTTGTGTATGTTTTCGAATATTATGTGATTTATTGACAATGTATATTGTAACTGGTGAAAGAAGAAGTTTCGAATAGCCATTGGCACATACAGTATGTACATGTGTACATTGCGAATATTATAAATATAAACTGTACGACAATTATTCAGCTATAATCCGTACGACAACATTTTGAGACATACTGATTTTCTAATTTTTATAAAGAACTGATTGCTACGACGATAAATCTATACAGTAATGATAATTGAGCTTTACATCTTTTTTTCATCGTAGTTCCGAACTGTGATTTTATTTAAATCAGTTGGGTAGGATTTTTTATTATGTTTCTTCCTTTTGATTTGATCGGTACGATATTTCTTTAAATTGCTCGTTTGCGATAACTTAGAATTCGAAAAATAGAAGTTTTCGTCACATTCGTTTATTGCGCATTGATTACGAAGATCAATTAATGCATGTACAATAAAAGCAATATTATTTAGTTGCAGAGAGGACCAAAATATCTGTCTGTTACTAATCGGTGTCTAGTGAAGATCGGGTTTTGGATATAAGTTCTTATAAAAAAGCATGGAGAAGATTTCGAGAATATGAGAAGTGTACGTTAAGAATAGTTTTACGATACTTTAAAAATGTAAGTTTCCCAAATTGGTATTTGCTTCTTTAAAAAAAAAAATTATTTAATTTCTTGTATTTTTAACCATGTTGTACCATCACAATAATCTCGCTTAAAATAAATACATGATATATATATATATATATATATATATATATATATATATATATATTATACATGAGTAGTATAATAAATACTATGCATATGTAGTGATGTTGCATATAAAATATGATTGTGGTGACTCCACGGGATGTTGAAAAAATCGCGTTTCGAAATTTGAGATGTTTGTTTTGGACACCGTACAAGTGTTCGAATCAAATCAAACCAGACTGGTTTGAACCTTCCTAAGATATTTTATTTTCCACACTTTTCAGAGCCATAGATCTTCCCGTTCTGAAGAAAATAATTTTTTTTATTTTTGAGCTTATCGATGTAATTCCGGAACTACGTGGTAACAGAAGTTAACATGATAGATAATTTAATATTGGATCATGGTGTAACATGTGTAAAAATGAACCCAATAACGCTGACAGCAACCTACCATACGAAAACAAGCCATGGCCTTTGAAACATACATTTTTCCTTATATACGAATTTTTTGAAACTTGGTATACAGGAATCTTTGGGGTCGCTGATTACAAATATGGAGTCAAATTTTGAAAATCTTCAAAATTCAAAATGGCGGACCTGACATGAAAATGTAAAAATGATCCCGATCACTGAAAATCTTGTATTTAGGGAAAATAAAAAGCTGGAAGAAGAAACTCGCTACGTCCTTGTCGTTAGTTTTGAGTAATGCTAAAAGCGAGATTTCTTAGAGGTTTTCTATTTGCCACCATGTTTGACTGCAATTTTGAATTTTGTAATTGTCAACATATTCGTAATCAACTACTCAAAAAACTTTCTAACATAAAGTTATGTTAAATGTTCACTTTAGGGGAGTCACCTTTGGTGATCTTGATCTTGACATATATTATAGAGGTCATCCTCCTGAGTAACCTTCAGAAGGTTTTAGCCGTCGCTCGTTGTTTGTTAAAATGTTATTAACAAAAAATGTTTTAGAAATTGATCTTAATTCTTGCACGCAGTGCAAACATAAAGAGAGATACAGTGCACAGGATAAATAAATTATATTGAAAAAATTATTTATTCAATATTTATAATAAATTTATTCAGTAAAATTTCCGCTAAGTGGATAGAAATTGGCCATAATTTCAGAAAATTTATCGATTCGATCTTCATAATGATATTTTTGCTTGAACAAAAATTCAGCTAAATAATGCGCATAATGATTTTCATTTCTACCAAAAGAGGTATTCTATTGCGTATATCACACCATAATCTTTCGATGTTTTGAGTATGAACTCCAGTAACCGGATCGACAAAATTGCGAGAATGATTTACAGTTTGATGTAAATAATTTTCTTTACATAAAGCGTCGTAACCACGCCAACAATCATTGTATATTATATAATACTTCCCGATGCAATATAACGACGAATGATGAGTATTAATATAGCTAATGTTCTGACTGGTACTGGCATCACAAATAACCGATCACTCTGTCTTTCCATACCTCCAAATAACCATTGTCCAGTAATTAATTTTCCTTCATGATATTTTCGACGTCCGAATTTTGCTTCGTCTATTTCCACAATTATCCCTGGGCCGCCTAATAGTTTGCTATTATCAGTCACCCACTGATTTAGTAACTAAAATGTGAATAACTTATTAATTAGACAAATTATTTTAAGTAAATTAATAATACTAACTTCACCACAAAAATTAACCCAATCCACAGCAACGGATCTTGATATTTGAATTTACGTTTCCAATAGTTTCTATCGTGGTGAATTCATCATTAAAAAATAAGAAATTATACGACATATTTTCACTAGATCTAAATGTGCTTTTGCAAACCACGTTCTTGTTATTGCACTTAACTTAAAATTGCAAGTCTTTTTTTGCCGTATTCGTCCACGAATTTGTTTATAATACATATCGGTGCAATGCATTATAAGTGATTCTTCTGGTTTTAAACGAATTCTTTTATCACATCGTGGACATAAGATATTTTTTCGGAGCATTTTTTTCGCACTTAAGTAGTTTACTAAATTTTCATAATTATATATTAAATGAATAAACTCATGAAACAGCATGATGAAAATATCTTACTTTAGCTAAGCTCCACGATACACTAATAATGTATGTCGGGACATGATCATAACACACATACAATAGTAGTGCGTGTCAGAACATGATCATAACATGATTATCAACATAGAAATCGTACATACGATCAAAACAAAAATCGCGCAATATACTCTGTGTGCAAAAATTATGTTAAATTTTTTTTAGTAAGTACTGCAATCTCGAACGACTAGCGGGGGACGTTGCCCCCCGCACCTCCCTTAAAAACTAGCCTAACCCAACCTATCGTCACATTAAGCGTCAGTCATTGTTTATTAAAGTGTTGAACTTTTTTGTGTTAATGTGACGGTAGGTTAGTTTTGAGGGGGAGTACGGCATGCGCACTAGTTGTTCGATATTGCAGTTATTATTCGATATTGCTCGTTAACGGCACACAATATCGAAAAATTGTAATATATTTTTCGAACTTCATTCATCAATACTTTTAACAAACAATGAGCGACGGCTAAAACCTACTGAAGGTTACTCAGGAGGATGACTTCTATAATATATATCAAGGTCAAGGTCATCAAAGGTGACTCCCATAAAGTGAACATTTACCAGAAAACAAGTAAGGAAAGGTGCGATAAGGGTATAACACTATGCCGCAAAAGGTTAAAAGTAATATTTTATAACGTTATAAAAATATTAGAAGAATCTAAACTAATTGTATATATACAAGTTATAATAAACGTTAATAAGACTTTTTATAAGAGCCTCTTTTCTAAATTTTAAGAAGATAAAAAAGTAAAGGCAATAAACTTAGTAGTTAATGTATTTTTTATCAACGAAGTGATTATTTATTCGTGAATATTATCCAATTTACATATAATAAAGAATAGTGTTGAAATATTGCGGAAAAAATCATAACTAACTTGCAAATACAATTATGTTCAAGTAAAATATAAAATTACGGTGAAAATTCAAGTAACGAGAAAATAATCGAATCTTGATTTTCTATTCGGCATATGTACATTTTGCAGTTCCAGCTCTGCTGAAGACTAAGTCTTAGGACTATTGACTGTAATATCTGTAAGGCACTTATCATTAGCCAAACAAAATTTTATCTAAATAATTTAAACTCATATAAACGGTCCTAAGGCTGAGCAATACAATTGTTAATCCCGCGGTTCTGCGGGCGAGTTAGAGTGGAAAAGGGAAATATACGTAGCCTCGAAAACATTATCAAACTAAAAGTAATTCCAAACGCCGTTATATATGAATTAAATTTTTTTAATTTTCTTAATTTTGTTTGCATTATTTAAATTTATAAGAACACAACTAAATAAGCATTACGATAATAAATTTCACCAGTATCGTAGTTTCTGTACGGTTTGTAACTTCGAAATTTATTTTCTACAGAACGATGTTCTCTAGGAACATTCATAACTTCTTGTATCGTCCTTATGTTCTCTTCTGCTTTACTTTGTGACGCAGTGGTGAAAAAAAACGGACATGTACGATCTTGCGTTGCGATGAAAATGTTTAACAGTGCATTTCCCACACTAAATTCTGCTTGAAATGCAATAATGATATTTGCTTGTTTATACAAATTTGTGCACACATAATCCTCATATGACACTCTTGCGTTTCCAAGATATAGCTGCCTTTCGAAACTGTTGCATCTTCTGCAAACATTGTAGTATTCATTCCTGTCACAATCTGTTTCTGGTAATACTAATATAATTCGTAATTCCTTAATTTTATTTCGTGAAAGTTCTAATTTATTGAATATATGTAAGAAAATCTCCCATGATGGTAAGCCCGTTACATCTGCAGAATTCGCACCTATGATATGTACGATAAAGGTATAACTTCTGAAGCGCATATGTGGGATAATTTTATATTCGGGTCTATAAATCTGTGCTTCTTCAAATGAATTTGCGAATTCCTTTAACCCGTAAAATAGGGTCAGTGGAGCTGACATATAATCCGAATATATATAAGATTTCTCACTCCAAGTTTTCACATTTCCTACTTTGTCATTAATGTATTGAATAACAAATGTAGGCATGTCATCAAAATCTATTTTTATTTGGGTAAACTTTATATTATGTGGATACGAATTTCTAATATATTTGTTTATACTTAAAAGATTAAGATTGAGGAATACCAATAAACTCGTGCACATTGAGACGTGTTTTTTTTTAAAATCCAATTGGTGTTCGTCACAATAATTGGCGGAATAGCAGGTCCCGCAAGTTCGCAGACTAATCTGTTGATGACAAATGAGACATGATTTTGGGCACATTATTATCTCTTTCTCGTATGGCTTTAGATCACGTGTTATTTTCATCCGAATTTCTTGCATAAATATCTTTCGAAATGACATCCATTCATCATCTGAGTTAAAAGGACGAGCGTTCAATTCCAAGTCTTCTGTTCTTGCAAATGTCATAACTGCACAGACTTCCATATGCGAGCTTTGATGCATTATTTGATGCTCCGTGGAACAATAAAAGACCATGCCGCACAAACCACATGGCTTTAATTCGTCTTGATTCGGCTTCTTGCAGACATGACAGATATTCGGATTGAAAAACTGATTATAATTATTTTCTGTGTATAAGTCATCAAATTTAAACAAGTTTTTAGTTATGCGGGACATAATATACTGATGCAATTGACAGTTATCAAATACTTAAATCGTTATATTCACTTAGAAATAATGCTGGATATATGAGCGAAGATAATAATTCTGTACACGACAATCTGTGCACGAATTCAGTTTTGATGTTCAGTTGATGATAGCCGGAAGGACACTAATAATAGATTTGTGTATGTTTTCGAATATTACGTCATTTATTGACAATGTATATTGTAACTGGCGAAATAACGAGTTTCGAATAGCCATTAGCACATACAATATGTGTACATGTGTAAATTGCCAATATTATAAATACAAACTGTACGACAATTATTTAGCTATCATCCATACGTCACATATACATCATAAATTGATAATAAATAATTAAAATGAAATATACTTATACAAAAATATATACTATTTATTTATATAAATAGGGTAGTGTGTATCAATTAATTAATTAAAAAATGTTATCACAGTAATAATTCTATTTTATATGAATATTTAAATTAAATTTTGAGAAATTCAGTTATGAATTATACTTTATATTTCCGTTAAATCATATTTTGAACTTCCGTTTGCAGTATACAAGCACTCGCGCAGTGCAGACACAAGTCGTAGAACTTGTAAATGTTTAACTAAGGAAATGTTTTACTTTGAAAATTTCATCGAAAAATACTGACTTTCTTTTTTTTAATTTTACTCACTGTGTTAAATAAATATAATACCAATTTCTATTTTTTATACTTAAGATATATATATTTTCATTTTCAACATATCATAAAATATTGTAACTGATAATCATTCTAATATTTTGTTTTAATGTACTTTTCCTAAAGGATAGGGAAAAGTTCAAATATATTTGTCTCTTTAACCTTCTTATGATATTATTTTATCAGTGTTTGATATACGTTTATTAGAACAAAATATTGTGTTTAATGCTTAATATGCTTAATTGTATAAAATACTATTTATAATATTTCATAATAATTTAACTTCTTTCTTTCTTTCTTTCAATACGATGGTGCGTTAATTACTTGCGAATACACAAATGTGCTAAGAACAATCGGATCCTGTTCACACTTGGTATTATATTAAATCTAACGTTAAATCTAACGTAAATCTAACAAGATATCAATCAAAAATTTTGAGACCTACTGCTTTTCTATTTTTGATGAAGACCAGATTGCTTCGACGATAAATCCATGCAGTGACGGTAATCCAGCTTTGCCCCTTTTTTTCATCGTGTTTCCCAAATGAGATTTTATTTATATCAGTTAGGTAGGACTTTTTATAATGTTTTTTACTTTCAACTTGATTTGTATTATTTTTTTTTAATTGCTCGTTTGCGATAACTTAGTATCGATAATTACGAATATGGAGTCAAATTTTGAAAATTTTTAAAATTCAATATGGCATACCCGATATGAAAATGTAAAAATAATCCGAATCACTGAAAATCGTGTATTCGGGGGAAATAAAAAGATAGAACAAAGAACTCGCTACGTTCTCGGCGTTAGTTCTGAGTAATGCTAAAAGCGAGATTTCTTAGTAGTTTACTATTTGCCACCATGTTTTACTGCAATTTTGTAATTGTCAACATATTCGTAAGCAGCTACACCAATAATTTCCTAACATAAAGTTATTTAAAAGTCAAGTCACATTTTTACCTCCAAGTCGAACTATGATTCCAAAAATCTCTGACTCTATTACCTAACAATAAATTTTTACCTAACAAAGAACATAATTTTAATAGTTGTTATATAGTAATTCATGTTATACAGTTGTTCATGTAGGAACTTAAATGTGTGATTAATGTCCTATTGGTTCATTGAAAAAAATGTAAAAAGCATAATAAAAAAGAGTAGGAAAAAATGCGATATGGGTATGCCGCAATGGCTTAAAAATAATATTTTATAACATTATAAAAATATTAGGAAAAACTAACCTAACATATACATATACAAGTTATAATAAACGTTAGTAACACTTTTTGTGGGAGACTCTCTTGTAAATTTTAAGAAGATAAGAAAGTAAAGGCAATAAACTTAGCAGTTAATGTATTTTTTATCAACGAAGTGATTATTTATTCGTGAATACTATCCAATTTACATATAATAAAGAAATATTGTGTTGAAATATTGCGGAAAAAATCATAACTAAGTTGCAAATACAATTTTGTTCAAGTAAAATATAAAATTACGATGAAAATTAAAGTAACGAGAAAATAGTCGAATCTTGATTTTCTGTTCGGCTTATGTACATTTTCCACTTCCAGCTCTGCTGAAGGCTAAGCCTTAGGACTGTTAACACGGTAATATTTGTGAGGCACTTATCATTAGCCAAACAAAATTTTATCTGAATAATTTAAACTCATATAAACACATATAAATTTTAATTTATTGAATATATGTAAGAAAATCTGCCATGATGGTAAGCCTATGGCTACATCTGCTCGCACCTATGATATGTACGATGAAGGTATAACTTCTGGAGAGTATATATCGGGTAACTTTATATTCTGGTCTATAAATCTGAGCTTCTGTAAATGAACTTGCGAATTCCTTTAACCCGTAAAATAGGGTCAGAGCAGCTGACATATAATCTGAATATAAATAAGAATTCTCTTTCCAAACTTTCACATTTCTATTTTTGCAATTAATGTATTGAATAACAAATGTAAACATGTCATCAAAATCTATTTTTATTTTGCTAAACTTCATATTTTGTGGATACGAATTTATACGTCTGAAATTTATATTTATGAAATTAAAATTCAGAAATACCAATAAATTCGTGCACATTGACTCGTGTTTTTTTTTTAAAACCAATTCGTGCTCGTCACAATAATTGGCGGAATAGCAGGTCCTGCAAGTTCGCAGACTAATCTGTTGATAACAAATGCGACATGATTTTGGGCACATTATTATCTCTTTCTCGTATGGCTTTAGATCACGTATTATTTTCATCTGAATGCCTTGCATAAATATCTTTCGAAATGACCTCCATTCATCATCTGAGTTAAAAGAACTAGCGCTTGATTCCAAGTCTTCTATTCTTGCAGTTGTAAAAACTGCACAGATTTCTATATGCGCACTGTGATGGATTATTTGATGCTCCTTGGAACAATAAAAGACCATGCCGCACAAATCACATGGTATTAACTCGCTTTGACTTGGCTTCTTGCAGACATGACAGATATTCGGATTGAAAAACTGATTATAATTATTTTCTGTGTACATTCCACGATATAAATACAAGGTTTTAGTTATTTCCGACATAATATTCTCGTGTAATTGACAATTTTTAAATACTTTAATCGTTATATTCACTTAGAAATAATGCTGGATACATAAGCGAAGGTAATAATACTGTACACGACAATTCTGTACACGAATTCAGTTTAGATGTTCAGTTGATGATAGCCCAAAGGTCACTAATGACAGACTTCTGTATGTTTTTGAATATTATGTGATTTATTGACAATGTATATTGAAACTGGCGAAAGAACGAACTTCGAATAGCCATTAGCACATACAATATGTACATGTATATATTGTGAATATTATAAACATAACCTGTACGACAATTATTCAGCTATTATGCGTACGACATATATATATCATAAATTAATAACAAAGAATTGATACTAAATATACTTACATAAAAGTGTGTATTATTTATTTATATAAATAAGATGGAGTGTATATTTAATTAATTAATGTTATTAAAGTAATAATTCTATTTTATATAAATATTTAAATTAACTAATGCCGCAAAAGGGTTAAAAGTAATATTTTATAACATTATAAAATATTAGGAGAATCTAACCTAACTGTATATATACTAGTTATAATAAACGTTAGTAAGACTTTTTGTGGGGGTCTCTTTTCTAAATTTTAAGAAGATAAGAAAGTAAAGACAATATATTTGACAGTGAATGTATTTTTTATCAACAAAGTGATTATTTATTCGTGAATACTAACAAATTTACATATAATAAAGAATAATGTTGAAAAAGTAGGAAAACAATCATGACTAGTTGCAAATACAATTATATTCATGTAGAATATAAAATTACGATGAAAATCAAACTAACAAGAAAATAATTGAATTTTGGTTATTTGTTCGGCTCAGGTACATTTTGCCGTTCCAGCTCGGCTGAAGAGCCAAGGCTTAAGACCGTTGACATTGTAATATCTGTGAAGCACTTATTAATAGCCGAACCAAACTTTATCTACATAACTGAAACTCCATATAAACTGCTCTAAGGCTGAAAAATACAATTGTTAATCTCGCGACCCTGCGGGCGAGTTACAGTGGAAAAGGAAGTATATGTAGCCTTGAAACCATTCCCAAACTGAAGATAATTCCGAAAGCTGTTATATATTAACTAAATTTTTTGTTGTCTTGCTTGGCTTATTTAATTTCATGAGAACACAACTATATGAGCATTACGATAATAAATTCCACCAGTCTTATAGTTTCTATACGGTCTATAACTACGAAATTTATTTTCTACAGAACGCTATTCTCTAGAAACATTCATAACTTCTTGTATCTTCTTTATGTTCTCGTCTGCTTTATTTTGTGACGCAGTAATGAAAAAAAACGGACATTTACGACCTTGTGTTGCAACAAAAGTATCTAACAATGCACTTTCCACACTAAATTCTGCTTGAAATGCAATAATGATACTTGCTTGCTTGTATAAATTTGTGCGCACATAATCCTCATATGAGACACGTGCATTTTCATGATAAAGTCGCTTATTTGATGAGCAGCATTTGAAACAAACATTATAGTATTTATTTCCGTTACAATCTGTTTCTGCTACTATCAATATAATTCTTAATTCTTTAATTTTATTTTGCGAAGATTTATATTTATCAAAAATATGTAAAAGAAGCTCCCATGACGATAAACCGATTATATCTGCAGAACTCACACCTATGACATGTACGATAAAGAGATAATTATTGTGGAGTTTAATAAATTTATATTCTTATCTATAAATCTGTTCTTCTTCAAATAAATCTGCGAACTTCTTTAATCCATAACATACTATCAGAGGAGCTGATATATTATCTGAATACATACAATGTATGAATACTTATCACAAGTTTCCACATTTCTATGTTTACTAATGTGTTGACTAACAAATGTAAACACGTGACCAAATCAATTTTCATTGCGGAAAACTTCATATATTGGATATGATTTCATATTAGTGCAGTTGATAATTGAAATATTCAAGTTCAGCAATATCATTAAGTCTGTGCGCATATACATGTGCTTTTCTTAAAAATCCAGTTGGTGCTCGTCACAATAATTGGCGGAGTAACAGTTTTTGCAAGTTCGTAGATTTACCTGTTTATGACAATTAAGACACAATTTTGCGCACATCATTATCTCTATCTCGTACGGCTTTAAGTCACGTGTTATTTTCATCTGAATACCTTGCATAAATGTCTTTCGAGATGACTTCCATTCTTTATCTGAGTTAGAAGGACGAGCGTTAGGTTTTCAGTCTTCTGACTTTCTGACTTTAATTTCTGATTTTAGTTTCTGACAAAAAGCTACCCAAGAAATACTGAACAGTATTTTCAGCGTTTTTAATAGACAAAAACTGTCTAGTATTTACTTACTATTTTTTTATGTCTAGTTTCTGGCTAATAATTGGCCATGAAAAAATAGCCAGTATTTTCTGCCAAGTTTCAAAGCAGTAACTGTCTATTTAATCCTAGCCAGTAAAAACTGTCTAATTAGTGGTCAGTAATCAGTTTTTCCCTGAGATGTTTCTACTTGGATACTTTTAAGTTTTTAAAACAAATATCTTTACTTCACTGTCCATAACATTAAAATGTTATATGCGATGCTTTTCAACGTGCTAAGAAATTTCTATGAGTAGACATATATACTTTCGAAACTTTAAAATCGCATATATCCGAAAATATATGCGACCCCAACATAGCATAAATTACACAGAATTTCATACTTTACAACATATATAAAAAAGGAAACATCGACGAGATATTATCTTTTATGCAGATTTACCAAATAAAAATATTATCGGTTAGTGGCTTATGTGAAAACGGCAACACATATAGTACTACATGGGTCTTTCAATTTTAGCCCTTTTATCTTCCAAGTGGTTTGAAAAATCTATAAAAATTCACAGATATACTTTCGAGTTTCTAAAACAAATATCTTTACTTCATTGTGCATAACATTAAAATGTAATATATCCGATGCTCTTCCGTGCTGAGAAATTTCTATGAGTAGAAACCGTCAGGATTCGTAATATCCATTTAGGGCCTCTAAGGGTTAAGAAGACAATTATAAATAACCTTCGTTGTAAGTTATTGTTTAAATAAAAAAATATATATAAATACAACATCCTTCACAGCTTGTGAACTGTTATATAACCGTTTTTAACATATATTATTATTATTATCTTATTTGTTATAGGATATAAAATCCGTTTTTATCATTTTGTCTTTTAACAATATAATTCGTGATGTAGACTACTGCTGTTAATTTTTGTCTTCCTTGCCGGACGATGATGATATATTTTTAGCGTATCATCTTAAAACTTCATTTTTGTTAATTGAAGATGTTGAAAAAGAATCAAATTTCTAATCAATTCTTCTGGACATTGTTGTAAAATGCTTCTTTGAGATAAAAATTGAATACAACACTATTAGCATAATTCTACTATATATACATTGATTATTTTAGAAATTAACTTTAATATTCGTCAAGATTCTCTATAAACTCCGTTCTATACAAGCACTACAATGCACTACTGACACTATATTGAGAGTTAATTATTTATATTGTTACGTACAAGCAGAGAAATCTGGTTAAAATTTTTTTCAAAGTGTCATTACGTGAGATTCATTTTGTTTCGTGAAGCGTGAATATATTTTCGACCCAAATATAGATAAGATCAGTTGTCTCATAACATTCATTTTTGCACATTATCATAAATATATTATTTATTTAAATATCTGAAAATGTTAAATGTCTGAAATAGAAGCATAACATTTTTAGTATCTCACTGGTTTTCACTAAAACCAGCATAAAACAAAAAATGCATTGAAATTAAATACAATTAAGTTTACTTTTATAAAAATTAAAAAGTAACGATTAAAGTAACGACGTTTCGTTATTCGTTACAAAAAAATGTATCGCCGTTACTCTTTCGTTACTGATACAAAAAAGTAACAGCGTTACCTAATCGTTACTAAATAAAGAAACGATACTAGTAACGGCGTTACAAGTAATGCGTTATTTCCTAACACCGATAATTAGTTATTTGAGAAATTACAACTTCAAAGTTCTAAAATATAGAATATCTTACCTACATTGCAAGATATTACAAAATAATTTCACATTAAATGCATAATAATCATTAAACCGATACTAAAACTCTATAACGTATGTTACGCATTTTTAAAGGAAAAGAAAGTAAAGACAATATATTTGACAGTTAATGTATATTTTATCAACAAAGTGATTATTTGTACGCAAATACTATCAAATTTATATATAATAAACAATAATGCTGAAAAATTGCGGATACAATAATAACTAAGTTGCGAAAACAATCATATCCAAGTATAGGAATAGAAGTATAAGAATATAAAATCACAATTAAAATCAAACTAAAAAGAAAATTTACGGATCTTGATTTTCTGTTCGGCTAAGATACATTTTGTCGTTTAAGCTCAGCTGAAAAGCCAAGCCTTAAGGACGTTGATACAGTAACATATGTGAGGCACTTATCAACAGCCGTATAAAATTTTATTCGTATAACATAAACTTCATATAAACGGTCCTAAGGCAGAGCGATACAATTATTAATGCTGTGACCATTCGAACTTGTTAGAGTAGAAAAGGAAAGTATAATAAGTAAACGTAACCTCGAAACCGTTCCCAAACTGAAAAGAATTCTGAACGCTGTTACATATTCACTGAATTTCTTGTTAGCTAGTTTGTATTATATAAATTCAGAAGAACACAACTAAATGAGTATTACGATAATACATCTCACCAGTCTCGTAATTTCTGTATGGTTTATAACTCCGAAATTTATTTTCTATAGAACGATGTTCTCTAGGAACATACATGACTTCTTGAATCTTCTTTATGCTCTCTTCTGCTTCATTTTGTGATGCAGTAGTGAAAAAAAACGGACATGTACGATCTTGTGTTTTGATGAAAATATTTAACAGTGGACTCCCCATACTAAATTCTGCTTGAAATGCAATAATGATATTTGCTTGCTTATACAAATTTGTGCGAATATATTCCTCATATGACACACTTGCATTTCCAAGGTATAGCTTCCTATGTGAGAAGACGCATTGGCTGCAAACTTTATAATATGCATTGCAGTCAAAATCCGTTTCTGGTTCTACCAATATAATTCGTAATTCCATAATTTTATTTGGTGAAAATTCTAATTGATTGAATATATGTAAGAAAATCTCCCATGATGGTAAGCCCGTTACATCTGCTGAACTCGCACCTATGATATGTACGATAAAGAAATAACTTCTGGGCTTGTAAATAAGTTTATATTCTTCTCTATAAATCTGTGCTTGTTCAAATATATTTACGAATTCCTTTAATCCGTACAATAGGGTCAGTGGAGCTGATATTAAATTCGATAAGATGTAACAATACTTACTCCAAGCTCCCATGATTGAATAGTATTTACGAATGTATTGATTAACAAACGTAATCATGTCATCAAAATCTAATTTTATTTGGCTAAGCCTCATTTCTGGTTGCAACGTATTTATATCATCGGTGCATACATTTAAAATATTGAAATTTAGGAATACCAATAACTCCTTGCACATTGAATCGTGTTTTTCTTTAAAATCCCATTGGTGCTCGTCGCAATAATTGGCGGAATAGCAGGTCCTGCAAGTTCGCAGGCTAATCTGTTGATGACAAATGAGACATGATTTTGCGCACATTATCATCTCTTTCTCGTACGGCTTTAGATCACGTGTCATTTTCACCTGAATTCCTTGCATAAATGTCTTTCGAGATGACCTCCATTCATCATCTGAGTTAAAAGAACTAGCGTTTGATTCCAAGTCTCCTGTTCTTGCAAATATAATAACTATACAGATTTCCATATGCGAACTTTGATGCATTATTTGATGCTCTTTGGAACAATAAAAGACCATGTCGCATGAACCACATGGCATTAATTCGCCTTGACTTGGCCTCTTGCAGACATGACAGATATTCGGATTGAAAAACCGACTATAATTATTTCCTACGTATAATTCATTAAATTTATGCAAGGCGTTAGATATGTTGC